ATAATAATTTTTTAATAAATATATTATAGAATATGTTTAACTGAGACATGTATCAATTATTGTCTAATGGAATAATTAAGGCTCTCAAAAATGTTGATCTTCTTCCATAGAGACGACAGTATATAAGTAATTTTGGATAAATTCCCCAGGCATAAGTAGTCTGTTGTTAAAAAGACTAAAAATATTAATTCAATACATGTATAAATCACTAAATTGACTCATACAATACTGCTTAAGTGCAAAAAGAAAGATAAAAAGCTGGTTCACACAAGCCTTGAGAGCACTACAATATATATATAACCCAAAATTGAAAAAAAAAAAAAATTGAATTTCACGACATGTAATGCCTTGAATCTTATGTTGGAAGGTAATATAAGTGTTAAAACCAATCATTATTAATAAATTGAGTTTAAGTTTTTTATGAAATGTGGATTTTGATCTAAAGAATTGTTAGGTTAATGGCAAGCTTCAGCTTGAGCCATTTCAATTGGTATTAGAGAAGTCACCTCTTATAGGTGTGGCATGCTAACATCATCACAACTAGTGGTAATGTGGATCTTATATCATTTGAGATGGATTTTTTGATTGTGCTTAGACTTGATGAGTACATCAAGTGTTTAAATAGGGAAGATTAAATAGCAAAGATTATAATGTCTCAAATCTTACATTGGTGGGAAATATAATTAAGTGTGAAGATTAATCACTATTAATAATTTAAGCTTAAACTTTTAAAGTCCAAAAACCTCAACTCAAAAAGTTGTTAGGTTAATGGTGGGTTTCCGTTTAAGTCATTTCACAGAATGTGTGGGTGAGTAATTGAATAAAAGAGACCTCTTAATAAACAACCTAAAATCATGAAAACCAAAAAAAAAAAAAAAAAGAAGAAGAAGAAGAAGAAAAGAGGAAAGAAAATTAAGCAACATTGTTATCAACATAATTTTCTTTTCTTCGCAGAGCATTAACTTCACATAATCCCAAATTTAGACGATCAAAGGAATAAAATAACCAAACTACTATTTTGAATCAAATATAAGTAATATACACTACGAAGCAGCTATCTATAACACTAGCACACAAAGATAGGCCTATGCAAATAAGTCGATTAAGTACTGATCCTCCTATACTAGCTAGTAGGCGTCATAGGGATGTTGATCCGCCCAAAAGAGTGTTACGCTATTTGGGCATCCATAAGCTTTGAGTACTTGTACCTACAACACCAAAAGCTAGGGGAGAGCAAAAGAAGGCGCTGCAACAGTCCCCTGCCCGCCATAGGCCCCAGCACAATCAAATACTAACCAGTAGGTGGATGAAAATCATCCACCAACATTACCAAGGCTGTACTAGAATTATCCACCAAGACCTTTAGTAGCACGACCCCATCCCTCCGAGACAGTTCCAGACTTCCTAGAGAGTTTTTGCCAAGAAACTCGTATTTTTAAGATATATTTAATGATGTTAAATTTTGTCTAATTAATGAATTAATTATATATATTCATTTAATCTACAATTTGACATGTATGTTTAACGTGAATAGAATATTAAATCCAACGGTTTGTTATTAAAAATATTCATTAAAAATGGATATTGTAGAGTTGAGATTCTAAATTTTTTTTATAGAAGTTAGGATTGATATATACTATTAATTCTCTTTGTATAACGAGGGATTTATTTATACATAAATTTTGCACATTATACTTACACAAAATTTTGACAATTCATTTATCTATTTTTAGTGGTTGAAATTTATCATGACTTTTTAAATAAAAAAGATAATTATCTTTAGTAAATGTGAATAAATTTCAATAATTGAAAGTGAAGAGATAAATAATTGAGATTAATAATTGGGATTTTATGTAAGTGTAATGGTGTGTAAGATTTGTGTGTAAATAGATCTTTATGGCAGAATACCCAAATTCACCCCCAAAGTATAATGGAAGGAACGAATCCACCTCCAAACAAAAAACGGGGACAAATCCACCCACAAAGTTTTCGATTTGGACAAATCATCCCAAATTTAACATGTGACGTCATTCTACATCAGCAATATGTTAATTTAACGTCATCTGACGTTAGCAATCCGTTAACGAATTAACGGATTACTGATATTAGATGATGTCACATGTTAAATTTGAGGTGATTTATCTAAGTCGAAAATTTTGTGAGTGGATTTGTCTTCGTTTTTTGTTCGAAGGTGAATCCGTCCCTGCCATTATACTTTGGAGGTGGATTTGGGTATTTTGCCGATCTTTATTTCATATATATATAGTCTGCAATGAAAATGACATCATTACAATTGTATGTGGCATTATAAGTTTATAACAAGATGTGTTATACAATTGGCTTTTTTTAATAAGGAATCTGCTTATGATATTATATCTTTCCACTTATGTAATAACATATCACACTTATTTAATTTTTTTTAGTACATTTGATTATGAGCTATACAAGAGGAGATAGCTCTCTCCTATTCTCAAATACCTCTTAACCTAACTCAAGAGTCGAATTTGAAATCTCTAATTTGGAGTCTCAAACTCTTAATTGTTGAGCCACCCCATGAGGGTTATCACACTTATTTAATAACACACCGTAATTTGTAACTTAGAATTTTACATGGTATTATAACTATATTATTGTCATAGTTTGAATACATTAAAAAAGGAAAATGATTGGTACAGTTTTGGTTTGACACTTTTTTTGACACCTCCTGATCAATTATTATAATATAATATAAATATTAGCTAATTTAGCTAGTTTCTGTATATGTATAGATGATTATATCTTTAAGTTTGTTTACCTTTAATATCAAATAAGAAAATAATAATTTTTAATGAATTATTGTGTAGTATATTAAACTGGAAGATGTACCAATTAATGTTCATTAAAAAAGCCAATTAAGACTTTAGATATATTTAATTCTTTAAGATTTTGAATTTTGAATTGGGTTTTTGGTTTTCAAATCTAGGTGTCAATATTTAATAATAAGGTATATTTGTAAATTTTGAATTGAGTTTTAATTAAATGAAACAATGTTATCTTAAGTTGGGACTCTAATTTTTTTTTTTTAGAGTTGAGACTTATGCGTAGTTATGTTCTATCCTTACATATATATATATATATATTAATATTTATCAGTTAGACCTATAAAAAATTAGGTAGAAAAACACTTCACAATTACGTTGTTTTAATAAAGTATTATGAGAATAGACTAAAACATCCGTATTCCTACTTTAAAAATAATTTATATGTTTAAGTTTTTTTCAACAGAATTTTATTAAAATGACATAGTTTTGGGATATTTTTCCACTTAATTTTTTGTAATACAAATTGATGCCCAAGTTTTTGATATATATATATATGTGTGTGTGTGTTAGTGTGTGTCAATTCCAATTCTTAAAAAAATTGGAACCAAAATCCCAATTTAAAATTTAGATATTCACTTTATTAAATATTGATACCTAAATTTGGAAACCAATTATATACAAAAATAATATAACAAATTTTATATATCTTATAATATAATTAATTTTTAAATTTAAATATCAATATTTAATAGAATGGATTTTAAATTTTGAACTAAGATTTAATTAAATAAAATAATATAGTTTAAGGTTGGGACTCCAATTTATTTTGAGAGTCGAAACTAATATGCACTTTTCCCATATATATAATATGGATATGTATGGATACTAATTGATACAAACTTCAGTTTAAAACATTGCATAACACTAACTAAAAAATTATTATTTTTTGATATAAAATTAAAGGTATATAAACTTAAAGATATAGTTATACATATAGGATGCAAGAACTAGTTGAATCAACTATATTTATATTATATTTTAATAGCTAAGCCAAGTAGGGTGTCCAAAAATGTGTTAAACCAAGTATGTACCAATCATTTTCCTATATACATATAGGATTGTGAATAGTAGTTTTGACTCTTAAAAAAATTAAAATCCTAACTTAGATTTGAAAACCAAAATCCTAGTTCCAAATGAAGAAATTCACTTTATTAAATATCGATATATAGATTTGAAAATTGATTATATATTTTAGATATCAACATTTAATAAAGGTAAGTTTTTTAATTTTAAATTAAATTTTAATTAAATAAAATGACGTTGTTTCATTTAATTAAAATTTAATTCAAAAATGTTTAAATTCATATTATTAAATGTTGATACCTAAATTTAGAAATTAATTATATAATCTAATATAATTGGTTTCTAAATATATATATTAATGTTTAATAAGGTGAATTTTTAAATTTTAAATTAGATTTTTGTTTTGAAAGATAGAAATCAATATCTAATCATGTGGATTTTTTAATTTTAAATTAAATTTTAATTAAATAAAACGACATCATTTAAGATGAGGACACTAATTTTTTTTTTAAAGTCAAGACTATTAGCACTATCCTATATATATATATATATATATATATATATAATATGGGGCATGGTGAGGTCATTAAATTAAGTGTACTAGCTAATTGCTTGTAATTTGTGGATTCTCATATTCAGAATACTTTGAACTATGCACACAACTAAATTAATCAATAGCTCGTATGAAAAGAAATTAAAAAAGAAAAAAAATAGTAATTAATATACAATACTTCTAGTGATTAATATTTATTCTGTATTAATGGTTATACATAATCTTATAGTTATAATATTACGTAGGACTGTAAGTTTATAATATATGACATTTAATGAGTATGATATCGTGGTAGTAAATAAGTGAATGTATATAATATTATAGATAAATTTCTTAATAAAAATAGACAATTATATAATAATAATTATATTATAAATTTGGATAATTATACATACACCCAAACAATCAACACCCATCTCAACACACAAGGCTTATGAACAGTAAAATTATAAATTTACCCCTCTTTATTTTAGCCTTGGGTGTTGAGATGGATGTTGATTGTTTGGGTGTATGTATAATTGTCCTATAAATTTATAATGTTAGGTGGCATTGTAAGTATAGCATTTTTGAATGGTTATATATTGACCACATGAAAGAACAATTAATGGTCCAACATTAATGGAGTTATATAACAAACAAAGCAGCTATCTTGCATAGCTTAAAGTCAAACAATTAAATACCTTTAACATAGGTTCAAATTAAACAACATAAGACAAATACATCACGGATATAATAGATCATGTTCATGTCCTTTTCTCAAGCAACCACATACTTCACACAAACATTCATGAAAATTCATCATCACATCACTAGTTCAGTTTTACAGCCCTTGGCTTTAGATGCTTCTCAGAGGCCTGCACTGAGAAAACAAGCTTAATTTCAACATCATATATCAATAATTTAGCTGACTGTATTTCAGCATTTGAGGGAAATGCAAGAGAATAAATATGGAGGGAATAAAAAAACTTTAATACTACATTGGCTACTAGATATCTCAAATACTACTTACATCATCCAGCTTGGCTTGATTGTTGGTCTCCAACATCAACCCAAAATGAATATGAGGGAAGTGTGCCCACTGCATTCACGAAAAACAAATACCAGAAAAAAAAAAAAAATCAAATGAATGTATGACATTGTAAAGTCACAATTCTCGGGCTTCGTTTAATAACGTTGATGTTTCTTGAGTTTGGATTTTAATTATTTAAAAATTTAGTAATTAAAAAAAATTAAATTGTAATTTTTTATGCTTACATTCTTAGCAGCAGTACTGAAAGCCTCCCTGTGGCTGATATTGGGATTATTGGCTTTGATCCTCTGAATCTCCTCTCTACACAAACAAATATTAATTTGTTTTTTAAATTAATTATTAATAAGAATAAGCTTCAATTAATCATGCAAAAACATGAACTGAACTAATTAGTTTTTTGAGAAATGAACTGAACTAATTAGTTAATTAACAGAATCTCCCTTTTTTTTCTTTTTTTTTTTTTTGATAGAGCAGAGATTCTTTGAGTATAACAGTTGCATACTTTATGAACTGGTTATAAGCAGAAGGTACTCGCTGCCTCTTCTCGGGAGCTGAAAATGAAAACAACACCACATTATCAAATTCAACATTTTATTAATTTATATTATTTGAAACACAGAAAGAGGAAGAAGTTTTCTTTAAAAAGAAAAAGATTGACTCACGTCGATTCACGGTCCTTTCCTCAGTGGCGTTGTTAAGCGCCGGTGGTCGCACTGAGATCCGGTTGTTGCTTTTGGAAGAGGAACCCAGCTCGATCCGGTACTCCACTGGCGAGGTATAGTTCTGTGTCTATATATAAGAGCAAATAATATTTAAGAAAAGAAAAAAGGGAAATGGAGTTCCAGAGGTTATTGGGTACTTTTATTTTATGCTACATTTGGTTACTTCTCTTCTCTCCACCATGGTCTCTTGTAGAAGTAATTATTCTAGTTAGGGAAGAAAATAGAGATTGCTGAAGGAAGGGAAGGAAAAAGAAAACAAATTAAGGGAAAAAAACAACCTTGAATTGGCTCAATCAGTTAGAAATTAAAAAGAGGGAGCAGTGTTCAGAAAAAACCCCGTTTCCTTTTTCATTTGTTTCAACAGTAGAAGACAAAGTTGATGAAAAGAAATCATTAAACCTAAGAACTCTAACATTCATGTCAATCAAATCAAGCTTAAAAAGCGGCTACCGAAGCTGAAAAAAAAAAGGGAAAAAAATTCCCAGAAAATAGTGTAGTAAGAGAATTGTTTCTGAGATACGGAGGGATATGTAGGGGCCTGACGCATGGCCGCAAAATTCAGCTCTAGAAAAAGTGAACTAATAGGTTTTGGGTATGGCGGCTGCTAGGGTTTAAAAAAAAAAATGCTTTGAAATACTCGATCTGAATCTCGAGGGGTTGGATTTCATAAAAAGAAGTAAGAGCAAGAAACCCTAGATTTCAGAGGCTATGAAGAATCTCGTTAGAGATTTCAGACCAGACAGAACATATGAGTTTAATTTTATTACATTTAACACAAAATCACCTGAACATCTTGGCATGACAGTGACTGAAACGCAGCTGCCATGTTGACGGACCAGAGATTGGTGCAGTGGCCGCATCGGACGGTCACGATGTCGAACAGGCTGCTGCATGGAACGCTCACCTACACAACAGAAACCCACTTTTATTAGAAAATCCCCAGATCTCTCAATGCATTATCATTGAGATTCTCAACAAAATAAAAATAAAAATAAAATAAAATAAAATAAAATAAAGATTAGGGATTGAAACTTCTATCCGCTGAAAATCTTAGGTATAGAAGATATGTGAAAAAATTGATATATCTAAACAAGGAAAAACCCAGATCACAGATTTCCGATTCTGGATGTGGCCAGGTTCTTCTCAAAAAGGAAAATTTCATATAGATTCATGATGAGGACATGAGGAAATGAAAAGAGGTGGAGAAATAATGGGTGAATAGGGTTTCTGGGGTGTTTGGATGTGCATTTGTCTGGAAATGGCAGAGGTTTGTGAGATCTTTATTTTTCTTGTTTCCCCTATGGGTTAAAGAAGCTGGGTATGCAGAAAGAGGAGGTTATGTACTATTTTGGAAGGGAAAGGTATGTTCCAACTGTGGTAAACCAAATAGTTATGGAGTTGTCCTCATCAGATTATCATCAAATGCTTGTATTTTGACGTTAAGATAGTCTCCTGATTTTATCCCTAAAAAAAACACACAGTATTAGCAAATAATATATGATCTCTCTCTCAATCTGGTCCTTACACTTGAGGACTTTTCTTTGACTGCAAAAGAAGAAGAAAAAGAAAAGTCCAACGATGGAGACCTGACTCTAACAAAAACAACAAACTCCAGAAAGAAAATCAATAGATTTCGGGAAAAGAAAATAACACGGGAGTCTGAACACACAAGGCCTATGCTTTTTTCAGGATGGAATTAAAATATTCTTTCTTTTTCTTTACCATGTATGCCATGAGAGAAACAAACAGAGGAAGAATAAGAAGAAGAGGAAACAAATATGCAGATATAAACAAGAAACATGTTAGTCATGGGTGCTGTAAAAGAAAACCAGAGATCCCTCCATTAAGGAGAAGAATACCGCAAGAACTATGTTGCAAAAGTTGCAGGGGATGTAACAGAGTTGCTCAGGCGCAACATCGATGCAGCTCGACATGTCTTTCAACAACAAAATTAATCAACCACAGGAACACAGATGGCTGCAAGTAGCAGAAAGCAGCACAAAAAGGAGGAACAATATTTTTTTTTTCAAAAAAAAAAAAAAGAAAAAGAAAAGAAAAGGAGAAAGCTTTTAATATTCCATCAACTCAACCCCTTCCTGTTGCTTATGTATCACAACGGCAAACTAAGTGGACCTTCAATACAGAAATTTATGCTGAGGGACAGGGGGGAAAAGGAAGGGATCCAGAGAGAGAGAGAGAGAGAGAGAGAGAGAGAAATTAGAGGTAAAGAAACATGGTGGACAGAAGGAAGTGGGTTTAGGCTATTAGTGCCCACAGCAGCCAGAAATGCTGGGACCGGTAAGGGAAATAAACCGGGTTCGGTTTGGCGGTTCGATTACTGAGTAAGTGATCTGTGGTCGGTTATTCGGATTTTGAGGAAGGGAAAAAGAAGGTATTTTGGAAGTATATGTGTAGCTATTATGATGAAATGAGTGTGACCGTTCCGCTCTGCTACGCCCACAGCTTGCGGACGATCGGGCGATGATCTCTCTCCTTCGTTATTAGCATGTACAATTATTTCTTTCTACAAAATTTTCTTTTAGAAAATGATTGATACATTGTTTAATATAATATTTTTTAAAAAAATTTATCGTTAATTTTGGATAAAATTTTAACATAATATATAAATAATAATTTTTTTTGAATATATAATTTTTATTGGGCAATTTGATATGATTGAAAAAATTTTCTCGTCTTTTTTTTTTTTTGACAGTTTCTCTTGTCTTTTATATACTCTGTTAAATATTTGTTTGAAATTAATATGCAAATAGTCAAAGAATCTAACAAAGTCAACTAAAATTAAACAAAAGTAGTAAATAATTAGGTGAGTTAAAACAAAAGTAGTAAATGATAAGGTCTCTCCATCCACTAACTGTTATTTTGTATCCCAACACAATCTAAAATTGAAAAATATTATCGTATACATCCTCCACTTTGATTTCGTTATTCTATTTTAATTTTTGTTTAAAATTTTATCAAATAATTTTATAAAAAAAGATTTATTTACACATAAATTTTACATATTAAATTTACACAAAATCTCAACCATTTATCTTTCCACTTTTATTTCAATTATTGAGATTTGTTAAGAATCTTTATGTGAAAATAATAATTATCTTTAATAAATGTAAATAAATTTCAATTATTAAAAATAAAAAAATGAATGGTCTAGATTTTGTATAAGTGTGGTGTAGGAAATTTGTATTTTAAGTGGATTTCTACTCTAATTTTATATAATAAATAGATGATAATTAAATTGTTTTTTCCATACACAGTTCTTATTAAATATTTTCACTTAGATAAATTTTTTTTTTAATTATCATTTATTTACTATATAAAATTATCATGTTAATTTAAATAAAATTAAAAGACTAAAATAACTAAAAAAAGACCAAAGGGAGTATATTATATTTATTTTCCGCATGACATTATGTATATAACTAGAAAAGAAAACACCAACAACTTGTTCTAAGTGAAAGAAGCTCAATTCTTTTTAAATAAGATCTTCAATTCGAGTCTTGTGAATGAAAAGATAGGTGCTAAGAGAGCTTCTCCCCTTATAGGGTCTGGCTCAATTCAACTCTAAATTAGTAAAGGACCCAATGTGGCTTCTAGATATCAGAGGGTGTAGTATAAAAAAAAAAAAACAATTCACAAACAGAAACCATGTGTTGCGTGATTCATTTACACTTTTATATTCTTGTATACTTCTTGATGATTCTATCAGATATTTCGAATTTAGATTTAGGGTGTGTTTGGGATTATTGTGAAGTGTTGTGACTATGAATTTTTTAATATTTTACTAGAAGAAAATTTATGTTATTGTTTGATCATTGTTTTGAAAAAAGGTCTTATACATTAATAGATGACCATAATATTAATACAAATCATCAATTAAGATTAATTTAATCATTATAAACAAACATTTTATGAAGTGTTGTGGGAAAAAGTGGTATGAGAAAGCACCCCTAAATGCTACCTTAATCAAAGGAATTTAAAAGGAGTGGGGTATCCTCAATATTGGATTTATTAGTAAGTGTTTTTTTATAAGTTAAGTTTTACATTTAAATTTTGGGGCCAACATCCAAAAAAGTTAATTTTGTTGAATACATCAGGTCAATATAGGGAATTTAACCTTAAGATTGCTTAATGAGAAATTAGTCTTGAGATGTGTGAGAACTGACCTAAAGACATGTAATAACCCAAAATTTTCTAGAACATTAAAGTGTGCATAGGGACCTAATTGTGAGGAAGTATTATTCATGAACTTAATAGTAAATTTTTTAAAGTTTAGGGACTTAAAAGAGGAAAAATTCCGGATAAGGATCAAGCTTAGATTTTTCTTTCTTTTCTTCCTCATCACACACGTGTCCGCTCGTCCTTCTTCTCCTCTACCTCCCGAAAGCTTCCCCCCAAAGCCGCTGAAGCTTCCCCCTTGAGAACCGGTAAAGAGCTTGAGTTTTCCCTTTCCTTTCTTGATGGAGAACAAGATTTAAACCCATAATTTCCTCCCAGCCATTTGCACGTTATGCTCTTCTTCTTCCTTGCCCCTGCAACCCGAAAAAGAAGCCAGCCCCCGGTGACATCTCCCTGAGAAAACCGGCAAAGCTTGGTGATTTTTCTCTTCCTTCTTGTTCAAGAACAAGCTTTAGGATTTAGAACCCTCCCTCTGAAGCCAAAAAATTCAGATCTGTGGTTGCTTCTTCTTCCTCTGCCGCGGGTTGTTGCTGGGTGGTTTGGGAGTCCGGTTTTGGTAAGAAATAGCTAAGAAATCATCTTTTTAGAGGGTTACTCTAATTTTTGTTTTGGTTCTTGAATTTGTGGTAGCCCGTGTGTTCCTCCAAAATTTTCCCCGTCGACTTCCTCACCGGCCAAGCCCAGTTTCTACTGCTAGAAAATTCTGGTATAGACAGCCCTTTTAAGTCCGAATTTATCAATTAATTGTTGTCCATTTAGTTGCTTTGTGTTGTCCGAGATCCTGCCAGAATTATGGGATGATTGTGGGTAGCATAAAGCGTGTTTTAAGCTTGGTTTAGGTAGGAAATTGCTTGATTTGCTGCCGTGGGGTTTTATATGAAAAATCTGTGTGTGAGTTGTGATTTTGTCAAGCCATGCTCCCTATTTTTCTGTCCGTGGGAATTAGAAGCTATATATATATGTGTGTGTGTGTTGTGTATAATTAAATCAATAATTGAAATGAAAGCCTTGTTTTCCATTTTTGTGTCCATGGGATTTGGGGAAATTAGGTAGAGGTGTTTCGCAGTGAACTTGGCTAAAATGTTCACTGAAGATTGTTTAAAATTTGGAGAGAAATGGGATCCGTATGATTAAGATTTAAAGCAGAGTTTTATTTTAAGTTGTGTATAAAGACTCAAGATTTCTGGAATTGAAACTCATGACTGAATACTAGAGTAAAAATGTAATTCCAGTAGTTTATTGGGTGGAGATTGGGAAAATATGTGTGTGTGTTGTGTACATATATATATATATATATATGCACAATCTGACCTTAGAAAATATTTATCTGGAATAGTAGGTGCTGTGTGGCTTAGAGCTCTGGGGTCGAGTTCCCGGTTTTATGCGAGTGAGGTAAGTAAATTTATGGTAATACCCGTACAAATTTTAAAAGTATTTTTTGACTTGTTTTTGAAGTGGTGGTGGGACTAAACCTGTTTTATACAAAAGTAAGTATGACTGATTTGAAATGAAATTTTTATGCTTTTCATTAAATTGAGCATGCCTACTTGAAATTTAATTGATTGTCTTGATGATCTAAAAGTGTTGGTGAATTATGGTTTTTCTGTTAACTTCTGCCTGTTTTGTCTCTGATGTGGTCATGTTATTAGTGTGCTTGCTAGTGGGAGGTTTAGAAATGCTAGCACATGTCGACATGTTATTGATAGAATCGGTTCGTTCGAGTGACCTTACTAGTGGGGGTTATACACCAGCAAATAGTGTAGCCTACCAGTGGCAGGATGTAATACCCCAAAATTTGGGGATATTTTAGCATTAAATAAGGGACTTATTTGAGGGAAAATATTATTGAGGGGCTTAATGGTAAAATTTTCAAAAGTTGGGGGACCTAAAAAGAAAGGAAATTAGGATAAGGATGGCTGAGTTGTTCTTTCTTTTTCTTCTTCCTTATCCGCACATCTGCTCTTCTTTCTTCTCCCCTGCACCCGACAAGCCCCCCCTAGCCACTGACGCACTCCTCTTGAGAAATTCAGCAAAAAGGCTTGAATTTCTCTTCCTTTCTTGTTGAGTCACAAGATTTGGGGCTTAGAATTCTCTCTCTCAACCCAAAAAATCCCGGATCTGCTCTGCTCTTCTCCTTTGTCCGCCGGCTGTTATGTGGGTTTGAATTTCTAGGCATTTTTCGGGTAAGCCACAGCCAAGAAATCATCTCTTTAACCTTGATTTAGGCTGGGTTATGCTAATTTCTGTTTATTTCCCTCAATTTTTTTTGGGTAGTCCGTGAGTTTCCCCTGCAGATGCCGTCGGCTTCTTCTCCCTGCCAAGTCCGGTTCTTGCTGGAAAATTCTGGTATGATGGCCACTTCTTTAAGCCCTAAATTAGCCATTTAATTGCTGCCTTGTGTGTGTCCGAATTGTGCCGGAAATGGGGAGGAATTCCGGTAGCATTAGTAGCATTTCAAATGTGTTTTAAGCTTGATTAAGTAGAATTTAGCTTGAATTAGCTGCTGTGATGTTTTGTGTGAAAATCTCGTGTGTGTGAATTGTGATTTGCCAAAGTTATGCTCTCCCTGTGCTGCCGTGAGAAATGGGAAAATTTTGGTAGATTAAGTTATGTTTTCAAGCTTGGTTTAAGTGTAAATTAGCTTGAATTGGGTTGTGGTGATTTTGGAGAAAAATCCCGTGAATTAGTTAGTGTTTTGGCCCCCTTTTTTTTGAAAGTTAAGAGTTACTGTTCACGTTGTGGTACTTTTCACCGAACACTGTTCATGGCACTGTTCATAGAACACTATTCACACACCGAGGGCCAACGATTAACGGGGATTTAAATGATTAGTTTGTGATATGAGAACGATTTTGGAGATATTTGATCATGTGGAGATTTATGGAAATAACATTGTGATTAGGAGTGATCCTAATGATGATTTCAGTTTGAATGTGTGATAGTCCGATATTAATTCTGAGGTGTTTTGATTAGGTTCCCGATCGTTCTGTCAGTTTAGTACGTGAATTGAGTGCTCGATTTTGCGGAGTGAGGTAAGTAAATTTATGGTAATGCCCGTACTGTTTTAAAAGCATGTTTTGATTTGTTTTTGAAGTGGTGGCGGGACTAAACCCGTCTTACACAAGTGTGACTGATTTGAAGTGAAATGTTTTATGCTTTTCATTAAATTGAGCCTGCCTACTTGAAATTTAAGTGACTGTCCTGATGATCTGAAAGTGATTGTGAATTGTGATTTTCCTGTTAACTTCTGCCTGTTTTGTCTC